CATGACCAGTAGTTGGAGGCACTTTACTTTTTTTTTTTTTTTTTGAGACAGAGTCTCACTCTTGTCGCCCTGGCTGGAGTACAATGGCACGATCTTGGCTCACTGCAACCTCTCCCTCCCAAGTTCAAGCAATTCTCCTGCCTCAGCCTCTGAGTATCTGGGACTACAGGCGCCCTCTACCATGCCCGGCTAACTTTTTGTATTTTTGTTAGAGACGGTGTTTGTCATGTTGGCCAGACTGGTCTCGAACTCTTGACCTCAGGTGATCTGCCTGCCTCAGCCTCCCAAAGTGCTGGGATTACAGGCGTAAGCCACGGCCCCTGGCTGGCACTTTACTTTTTTACAAAATAAATTAATGTAAACCCAGCTTTGGACACATTGAATGATGACTCTTACTGCATGTTTAAGGCTCCAATGAACTATCTGTTTAAACAGCTGATAAGCCAGGGAAAAAAATCAAGTTTTAACTTTTATGAGGTCTCTTCTGTTTAGTTCACTCCAACTATATGTGTCTGAGCTGAGAGTGCTTTATACAGAATGTGTGAGTGAGTAGTTACCTTTCTTCCTGTTGCAACAGAGAGGACTGGAGCCCAGTGGCTGAGAGCTAAGGTCAGAGTTGGGCAGAGCTGGGTCTGAAGGCCAATTCTTCCACTTAGCCCCATGCCTCAGTTTTCCCCCATGAAACGTGGCTAATAATACTATGTACGTCACACTCACAGGACTATAGGAGGCCACGTATGGAGAGTACTTAGCTGGGTGCTTGATGTAAAACGAGCATCAGCCAACAGTAGCCACAATGATATTGTCACAATGTTTTTCAGCTTGGGTTCCCAGGTGGATACCACTGATATTAGATAACACTGATAGTAGACACCACTGGTTTCTGTAGATACCACTGCGATTAGCTAACAGTGAATGTAGACACGAAAGTGCTTCATCGGGTAGACTTCAGGCTTCGAACATGCCCCAATCCCCTTTCTCCAACCAGAACCCCTGTGACGGGGAAACGGAGCAAGTTAAAATACTGTGAAGCTTTGCATTTAGAAACCGGAAAACAGATGCACAGAGCAGTCTGCCTCTGTGTAAATGCACATTGTAATCGGTTTTCTAACGCAGCCTTTACAAGGATGAATTAAGCAGTTCGTTGACATATCATTATCACATTCTGAAGATAAACAGCCACAGGATCTATGAACTCTCATCATGCAGTTAATTATTCTTGAATTTTTCTGCACTCTTGAAACATATTCTATTTATTTAACCATCCCCTGGGAGCCCTGGTCGTCTTTGTCCCTGCCACACAGCCAGTGGTTCAAAACCTCTGCATCTGTCAGATTTCTCCATGTGGAGCATAATTGCCTGATTTCCATTTGAAAGTACAGCCCTGACATTAAAACAACATACACCCACCAATGATAACAATGGCTTCCTGACACCTACCAGAGGAGAGGGGGTGAGGGGGCATAATGCAGGAATAAATAAGCGCACGAATGAACGCTCGCCTTCACAGGGACCAGGTCTGAATTTACAGCTGCAGATGAAGTGTTCCTCGGGAACAAACAAAAAGAAAGAATGAAAGAATACAAGAAAAAGAAACCAATAGATTAGCATCCGCGTGAGTCTGTTGGAGCCAGATGGCTCTCTGTGGAGAGCGAGCTGTCCCGCTTTCTCCCAGTAACCCCGACCAGCAGACAGCAAGCCCGCTACACTGGGAGAGAAATGATCTCATTCCTCAGCCTGGCACGTGAGCCGCCTTCTTTCTCTCACATACAACTCGAGCTGAAGGAAAATTGGAAAAGACAGAAAGGGTGAAAAGGAAGGGGCGGGGAAGAATGGGTGGGTGTCAAGAGAAAGCAGGTACTCGTAGCCCAGAGGAATTGTGAGACGCCAGGCTCTGGCCAGCCCCGAGCGTTCCAGAACTGCCTCCAGATGTCCACGAAGGAGAAGGCAGGGAGACGGAGGGGGCACCAGGCATATTCTTACCTCCTCCACCCACATCCCTGAACTTCACCTCCGTGATCCAATGTTGCCTGGAAGGCTTGGTGTGTAAAGGGGCTGGGAGGAGGGCGCGGGCTGCTGTAGAGGGCAGGGATGTTCTGGGCCCCACTGGAAAGGGGAGGTGGGCAGTGTTTTCAGTTCTTCCTAATGACAATGTCTGCCTGACTGTGTGGGCCACAGGCCAGTGAGTCTGTCAGTCCTCAGCCTGCAGGACCAGCCATCTGCTGGGATCCTGGTCTGCCATGCTCCTGAACAGGTGCCAGAGGTGGAGGCAGCTGGCGTGGAGGGGCAGTCAAATGAAACTGACAGGTTGTAGGTGTGGGAGGGCTCCTGTCCTCGAAGATTCTGAGGCTAGGAGGAGCTTGTTCTGGGGTCATTCTTCCTGCCCTGCTAAGCAAAGCGTCCATTGCTCATAAACAAGTCTGTTGTCTGGAGTGACAGCCACACGTGGGGCTGGTGGACATCAGACAGACCACCACCAGATGCTGGTGGTAGAGTCTAACACTTGCAGATGTGTGCAGAGGTGCCGGCCTCCTTCACGCGAATCTTCCTCTGAGTGAGGGTTCACACGCCCAGCCTGGTCCTAGGGCCCCTGAGGCCTCCAACCCAGAGAAGCAGATCCAAGAGAGAATGAAGGTGCCACTGGGAGTGAGTGCTGGGGGCTCACGGAGCACTTCGTCAGCCTGGCTAGGTTGCCTGGGCACCTGAAGTTTGTCTCCAGCAGTGTTTACTCAAAAGAATAAATAGTAGTTTCCAGGGTGACATGCAAAGGCAGGGAGATGTAGTCATTCATTTACAGCTGGAAACTATTATTTAACTCATATAATATTGAGCAAACTTCTCTTCATTTTCAGCCCAGGATGAGGGCACCTGCTTCACAATTCCTGGCAGTTGTCGGTACAACTGAACATTAAGCTGGCGTATGCTATCGGGGCCGAGGAAGTAAAGCAAGCTGTCGGCTGGGGGCTAAAACCACAGGCTCTGGCTCTTCTTCCTTCTAAAAGTGAAACAGAAAGCCACCACGCCACCAGACAACTGCTTTGCTCTTCAGCTCCCAGGCAATGCTACCGCCTTACAGGGTTCCTCGTTCTGTGTGGGATTCTCACTCACAGCAGAGCTAAGGATTTCAAAGGAAATCGTATCACTAACGTAACAAGAGTGTGGGCTCCATCATCGTTCCTTGCCTCCACTTTGTCGGCCCTGCCTCTAAGTGTTTTGCGTACATTTCCTGTAACCTTCATGACAACCCTATGCGGCATCACTATGGTTCCACTGAACCCTTGACTGAACAAGAGCCCCGGTGGCTGACACCCTGACTCTGGAGGCTCACCTCATTTTAAAGGGTGGTGGGAAGGTTCCTAAAGGTTCAGTGGAACCATAGCGATTATCCTTATTTTACAAATAGGATGCCAAGTCCCAGAGATGTTAAGCAACTTTGCCAAAATCACACAGCTGGCCCCGGGTCCATACCACAGGTTTTCCTGCTTCTTTTGATAAATATAGGTAATAACTGTGAGCTTTAGATTTCCTGTTTTGGCTTCTCACCAGTGGTGCCATCTTGGGCTACTAAGTCTCCCTGAGTTCCCATTTCCTCATCTGTCAAGTAGGGACTGGAATAGTGGTCGTAGAGGGTTGCTGCCAGGAGCAGAAGTAACGAGTAACATGTGCCCAGGCAGGGCCAGTGCCCGGCACACGGTTGATGATCCATAAGTGTAAGTACAAATGATCCCCTGATGGTTTGATTTAACAGGCTTTTTCCACTCTACAGTCGATTTGTTGGGAGGTAATCCTGTAGTGTGTCAAGGAACATCTGAGTTAAGATAGCTTGATTTACAATTTCAATTTCACCATGGGTTTACCAGGATATGAATATTTTATCAGGATATAAACCTGATGCATCTTGGTATTTTCAGCTTGCTGTGGGTTTATCTGGACATAACCCTCACCATCTCTTGACTGCACTTTGTGCGCTGTCTAATCTGACTTGCTGTTTCCTGCGGGACTGCAGGCCACACCTATCCATTTCTAGACACCAAACACGGTTGCTGTCTAGAAAGATTGGAGCAAGGAATTCAACTCTTGTCACTTTCCCTTTGTTTCCAGGCCCCGGGCTTGGCTGAGGACGGAGCCAGGCCCTGCCTGTGCCCTCCTGGGAATTGCTGAGACAGTTAATGCCTCTTGGAACAAGTAAAGTACTAGCTTAAATGAATCACGAGCTCATGTGTGCCCTTAAGATTTTCTTTATTGTTGAGGTCAAAAAAATACTTATTTTCTCATCATCACCAAATGCAAATGCATAGCCCCACCTCATGCCTCACTTCCCCCAGTTGGGGTGACCTCTGAGAACATATCCAACACTCTTGTTCGCAGAAGGCATTCTGCACCTATAGCTGGAAGCAGGAGAGGAAGGGGCCAAAGGTCCTGGGTGTCTTGGCTGCGCTCTGCCTTCTTTCCGTAGCCTTCCTAGCTCTGCCTTTCCGGTGATTTTCACATTTTCCCTTCCATTTTACTTTCAGAAAATCTCTGGGGACTGCAGCTTTTGTTCTGTTGCTTCACGTAATTCCCAGGGCTGGGAATGAAAATTATTTCCTTTCACAACTTCTGGCTGAGTGCCTTTCACAGCCCAGCTGTGTTCTGGGGTGATTTATAAACTGCAGGGTCCGGGTCTTTTTCCTCCTCCTCCTCCTCCTCCTCCTCCTCCTCCTCCTCTTTTCCTCCTCCTCTTCTTCCTCCTTCTCCTCCTCCTTCCTTTCTCCTTCTTAAAACAAGGTGAGCCTTCAGAGTCAGGGTGTCAGCCACTGGGACTCTTGTTCAGTCAAAGGTTCAGTAGATCTCCATAGTGATGAGAGCATGAAGCCATTCATTCCTGTTAGAAGAAGACAGAAATAGGCCTCAAGGCCGAACTTATGTCTCTGAGAACAAATTTGACCCAAAATCTCTAAGTTTAGGGTTGGCTTTGAACTAAGAATATAAAAGCATATTTTCCAAACTTGTCAGGATTATGTTTTATTTCTAGACTTTTATTCTCAAAGGGATGTTGAGGAAGAGACACAGCTTAGGCAGTTTTGAGCTGAGAAATGAAAAGAAGTCACTTTTCTCTGCTGCCATATAACTAAGTAAGGGAAAAATTAAGCCCAGGGGTTCTTTTAACCTGTTATAACAAAACACAAAAACTAGACGGCATAGTGTCATTTGCAATGTGATGTGTCTTTGTCGGAACTGAAGGCTGTTGCCAGTCGGCTGCCCTCACGGAGTCCCCGTCTGCCCCTGCACTCCCTGCAGGTGTGTTTTCATCAGGAGCTGAAAGAACACAGAGGGGTGAGCAAGTTTACAAGCCTCAGACTGTCTGTCAGGCCATGGGGCTCCATCTGGGCCAGACCCCGGGGAACATGTGAAGACACTATGGGCCTCCTTTTCTACTCAGCATAATCCTGGACAGGAAGAGGTCTTCACAGCCCAGACAGGCCACTGCCTTGTGGCTGTGTGACTTCTTTGAACTGCCCTGTGCCATCTTTTTGGTCACATCCAAATCTTTGCCTCTGTATAACTCACACAATAACACCAAGTCTCCTTGTCTTCTGGCCCGTGACTGTCTGTGAATTCTGAGAAGCAGTGTCATGGAGGCTGAAGGTCAGAGCCAGCATTGCCACTGCTTGCCTGTAACCCTGGACGAGTTACTGACGCTCTCTGGGCCTCAGTTTTCCTCACCTGACAAATGGAGAAATAACATCTACCTCCCAGGGTTGTTATGATCATTAAACTAGATGATTTATACCAAGTGATTCACACAATGCCCCACAGAGCACAAACCCAAAGATGCCAATTAGTATTTCTAAGCATGGGAGGAAGCCCAGGGAGAAGGCCCTGGAGAAGTCTATTCTCTCCCTCCCGCCTCGACTGTGAGCCAAGTCGGGAGGGAGAGAATAGAATCAGAGACGGAATGAGCTAGAGGCCAGGTAGAGGACACTGAATCCATCTCCTACCGCATTCCCTGCGGTTTCCTTTGGAAAGGCAGCGTCTGAGATTTTAAAGTCACATATCATTCCCATTTCCTTTTTTAAAAATATGAATCATTGTCCCAGAGACATTCAAGTTCAGAGAGGTGCATGTGTTAGGTCTGAGGCTCATGTATGCCTGGTGTTCTAGAAAGCGGGAAGTTAAGAGAGGCTCCTGTCTTCAGCCTTCTCTTCCCAAAATAATGGATGGCTTTTTTTTCACTATTATGGGCTGTTAGCACCTCAGACTTCTTCCTGAACCTGGGTTAGTGATCGGTTTTAAGATCCTAAGAGCACAAACGGTTAGACTGAAACAGGCTCCATTCACTAATGTGCTGCTCATTGAGGAATGTTAAGTGATAACATACATGTGGAAACTTTGGAGATATGAGACCTCTCCCCAGTCTCATCTCAGTCTCAGGCCCAGGATGAGGTGACAGTTGGAGAGAGGGCCCTGGAACAAAGAAATGGGGGGTTCCTGGGACATGTAGGGCCATGTTACTGAGGCAACTTCCAGCAAGGATGTACAGGAAGGGTTTAGTTTACGCATAGATTGGGACCAATCTGAAAAAGAATCAAGGTTTATGAAACTCACAATTGCAACATTTTATAGGGTATGGCCCACCAGAGTTAGCCAAGTGCAGATGCCATTAGCTAGCTATCGGTTCATCTGATTCCTATTATATATTCTATCTCTTGCTCTCTGACATACACACACACACGACTGAATTATATTCAGCAGTATTTTATGCTCTTTGGAAATTGTTACTTATTCAGATATAGGGTGTTTTGTTTTTGCTTTTTGCTGATTCTCTACTATTTTTATTATTCCCAATACCCTCAGCTCTTTCATTTTGAATTATAGAGTTATTGCAGTATTATAGTTTTTTGAGATGTAAAAACTATTACAATTAGAACTAAATTTTTCAAAAATGGAAACCTGCAGGTTAAATTACAAGGATAGCGTGTTTGTGAAATTTGGGTTCCATTTTGTTTTGCCATCATAGCAAATAGAGAATGAGAAGACCTGGTTGTCTGCCTCCACATCCATCGCCACTCATCAGCACTGCAAAGGGCAGCTGAACTCTCCCCTCTAACACTCCTCTGTGCCCCAGTTTCTCCAGATGTAAAACAACACTACACATCTGTCTCCCTCTCAATTCACAGAAACGTCATAAGAACATTTGAAAGAAAAAAATCTCCACAAAACAGTGTTGTGATCCCAGAACTCACTTGTTTTGTGTCTTTGTGATTGTATGAAAAGTGGAGGTTACTCTAGTAAAAGTGAAAACTGAGCTGGAAAGGGCTGCAATTGCTAAAATGAGCAGGAATACGGTAAAGGAAACCATTCCCTGTACCCAGCGGCTGTCAGGCTGTGTTCATGATCTGCTCTCGTTTCCTGAGAGCACCATGATTTCTTTGTAACCAAGAGAAATAATCTATTTTCTGGCTTAACCTCTCATAAGGTATTTTGGAAATAAGCTCAACATTAGGAAATAATATTTTACAGGTCTCTTAGTCTCCTCTTTATTCAACACTCTTTAATTTCCCCCTCCCCTTGCAATTTCTCCTCTCAAAAATACAGCTTTTCAGCATCGATTCATCTCTGCTGCCTCATAGCGGATTTTTCCTCTCTTGTAGCCTAGCCATTTTTCATTTTTCTCACTTGTATCTTAGCTGGATCTTCCATCTCCTCCATTGCTACTCCTATTTCCTTTAAATTCATTTTCCTCTTTCCCTTTTCTCTCCCTAAAGAGAGAACAGATGACAGACAGAAAGGACAACCAGCTAGGATCGTGCTGAGAAAATGAACCCCACAGCACATCGAAAGTTGGACAGGCCAAACCTGACTCCATCAATTTGAGTTGATGCCTCTGACAATTCAAACAAGACTTGGTCAGCACAGAATTGCAAGGCTGTCTTGGAATTTTCACACATATATATTTGACATTCTACTCCAATTCAGTTCCACAATCCAGATGCTGGAAGAATTTTGTTTACTTGAGACGAATTCTCATCCATCATCTTTCGCTCCCACAAGACCATTGCTCACAAGCCCCAGGGACTGCCTCAGAGTACCATCATTTTGTTACAGTTAATGCTCATTGTTGTGCACAGTTGGGAAATGTAGCCTTCTGGTTAATTACATTTTCTGGTTAGTAGAAATGACAAGGTACATCTTCCACGAATTGCTGACATCTAGACACCTAGGATACTCTAAACACCAAAGCTAACTTGAACGAGTTTAGTCTTTCTTGGAAAATTCAGAGGAAACTTCAGGACTCATGAGACCTCAGGGGTCCCAAAGATGTGTTGTAGAGGTGGAGAGTATTAACATAACTGGGATTTTCATTTGATACCATGTAAAATTGGTTTGAGGGTATGTAATAGCACAAGTCACATGGGAAACAAGGGTACCATGTGAAATGCATTATATCTGTCTAAAATTTTCCGCTTTGGGGGGCCGAGGGCTGAGGTAGGGGGATCATGAGGTCAGGAGATCGAGACCATCCTGGCTAACATGGTGAAACTCCACCTCTACTAAAAATACAAAAAATTAGCCAGCCATGGTGGCATGCACCTGTAGTCCCAGCTACTCAGGAGGCTGAGGCAGAAGAATCACTTGAACCTGGGATATGGAGGTTGCAGTGAGCTGAAATTGTGCCACTGCACTCCAGCCTGGGCAACAGAGTAAGACTCTGTCTTAAAAAAAAATTCACTCCTCTGTATTAATATGTGTTTAAGTGTTCAAAGGAAAGAAATTCATGACCTGCCAAATTACAAAACTATATGCATGACAATTCCATTTTTGTATCTACACATACACACAGCCTCCCATACACAAGTCAGGGAAGATATGACCCACATTTTAATAATAGTCTCTCTGGGTGATGTAATTATAGGTGCTTTTGTTTTCTTCTTTTGGTTCATCTGTACTTTTTAAAAATTAAATATTTCTTCTATAATACAAATAAATAAAAATGTCTTTAATTGGACAAATCACATAGTCCAGTATTAAAATCAGCACAGAAATCTATCTCAATATAGATCAAGAACAGATTAAATGAAAAAAATGATTGCAGAAGGCATCTTCCCATTTGGAAAACACCTATCACGTGAGATTGTCAAACACAAACTTGGAGACTCGGGAGCTGGGGGTGGCAGTGGCTGCAGCGACAGCCACATGGAATGTGAGGAAATGCTGTTGCCTTGGGGAATAGAGGTGTAGTGCAGGTCACCGCCTGTTACCACAGGCAGGCTCTGTGAGTCCTACACAATAGGAAATGGGGTAACAAGAAGGATTTTTACATTTGCCATTTAGATAATCCCTTCGTGGCATTTCTGCATCTATTTCTAACCTTCTAAACACAATAAGATATGGAAGACCACATCTTGGTTTCAACACTGATTTTCCATGACTAGGGTGGTGGGTTTGGCCTGAGCCTGAAATCAGACACTCAGTCGTCTCCAAGGCCCTGCACCCCGATGGCTTCACCCCACCCATGACTTCAACCCGTCCTGGTCCTTGGCAGCACAGGGCTTGTGCCACCATCCCCCTCTCCCCACCCCAACCTGGTCCTGTGTGGTCTCCACTTGTGCAGAGCCCTGTACCCCTCCCGCTTACTTCCATCTCAGTTTTCCCAGCATTCACCCCCATCCTAGAAAAAGGACAGGGGAAGTGTGAACACGGAAAAGAGACACAAATTCCAAAAATGAAATTTTAGGGGAAACTCTACCAGCAAGTGTAGACTTCTACCCTAGTGATACAAAGAATGCAATGGCATTTCCAGGATGAAGCAGGAGTGGTATTCTAGGATCATCCTGCCTCTTTTCATCCATGGGCAAAAGAGGCCATGCCATGCAGGAAATAAATTCCCAGCTTCCAGAAGTCCCCACATTTTCAAGAGACCAGAGCAGATCCTTGCCTATTCTCATTTCTGCTGTCATGTGCACCTTGTCTAAGAGGTTTTCCAAGTCCCAGTGTGTGTTTCAGCATCACTTGTGCACACCGTCACTCTGGAGCGCCTGCACAAGGCTGGGAGCCCGACTTCCCATGTAGATTCCTCTGCCCCATTTGTCTAAAACTCTTTGCAACAGATTATACTTTAAGAAAAAAAAAAGCACCTCTGCCGTACCTCAGTACCTCTTACAGTTTTGTGTTAAGACCCATATATTTGTTAAGTGAATGAATGACCAAGTGACTCAGTGTTCGCACACCCAACACTCTGCTGTTTTCAGATCTCATCTATTTCTCAAAGCAACCCTGTGAATCCTGCCTTCAGGATGAGAAAAATGATGTGAAGAGGATTGCCCGAAGTGACACACAGGTCACTGAATGCCAGGACCTGGAATTCTGATTTCAGTCCAATGCGCTTTCCATCACAATGGTGATCCCCAAGGCGGCTGGCTCATCAGAATCCCCTATAAAGTTGGTTAACGAACCAGCATCACAGCCCTACTGCAGACCTGCCAAATCCCACTCAGGTGAGGCTCAGCTGTCTCTACTGTCAACAGGTTTTTCCACAGACGGTCTGGCTTCCCTCCCCGCTGTGCCGTCTGTGTCCACCAGCTCTGATTTAACATTTGGTCGATGTTATCCAGGGTGACAACACAAAACTTCAAGGCTAGCCCTGACACTGAAAATCCTATGTTCCTCCATTAGTCACCTCCTTGTGTGTGAAGAGTCCATTTCTACCTCCTAGGATCCTTCTTCTGTGGGAGCTGGGTTAACAGCTCAAATTCTAGAAAACCCGAGGTTAAAAATAGCTGTGACACTCATTAGCCGCAAGGGGGAAAGTTCAGCAAAGTTTGACAGCCGCACTTAGGAAGGCCTCAGAGAGGCTACAGAAAAGGCCTTGGAGCTGAGAACAGGGACCCAGCCTTCCTTAGAAGCCTGGCTCCAAACCAGCTGGGGCCCCACTAATTGGCCACGGCTGGGAAAGGTGCTTGTATAGTCACGACTCTGTAAAGCAAGGGGCAAGCTCCCTGGCAATTAAGTGACCACAAACCCATCCAAGAATTACTCATCAGGGGGACTGCACATGGTGGGAAAGCTCTTCCTGTTTGGAAGAGTGAGTAAAATTTGGAGGGAATCAGCAACCCGGCCCCCTCCAGCAGCAGACCACTGAAGTCTAACCCCATCAGGAGAGAGACCCACACCACTCAGGTTCTCCAGAGGAACAATTAGGAGTTGCTTGAGAAGTCCCCCAAGCTGACTTAACCTGCCGCGAACCCAGCAAGCAAACGTCCTCTGACTGTGATTTATAAGGAGGAGGTCACCTCCAGAGAGGGGCCTGGGCTACTTGCCTAAGTGCTGTGTGCAGGTCAGCCTGGAAACCATAATTATCATCATCAGGAGGATCAGTCAGGAGACAAGTTGAAGCAAGTTGAAATTTGAAAAACACATTAACACGGGCTTGACGAGATGCCAGAAGAGTCTGCCAGCAGGGACAGCTGGAAGGCCAATTTCTGAGTCAATACTGAAAGGTGGTTGCTTAAATATCTGAGTCAACACACACTGATTTCTCTCCGGCTCAATACTCCTGTTTAATTGCACTGGGGAGTCTCCCCACTGACACATCTAACACCAAGATACATAGTTGAGTGAAAAGAAAAGCGCTTCATTGAAGTGCAAATGAGGTCCTTCGTGGAGCCTGCAGGCCTGGGTCCCGCTAAGCACTCCCTACTGCCCTGGCATAAGGTGGCCAAGCCTTGCAGGGACTCCATGTGCCCCCCTTTTTAAAGAGGGTCGAGAGAGAGGGGTGAGCCCCAGGCCTCAGCTGGCCTGCAGAGAGAGGTCTAGGTGCACTGCAGTTGCACCGGCCGCCAAGGCTCTGAGATACTGTTTTAGGATCCATGGTCCTCTCCAGAGAGAGGGGGCAGGAGTGCCTGTTTCCCACCCGAGAGAGCTAAGTCAGATGGAAGGGTGTGCAACTGGAAAGCCATCACATTTGGCAGCCAGGTGACCACCTGGTGAGGCTGGTGGCAGAGATGATGAATGAAGCAAGTCTTGAACGTCCGCCCAGCTGCCTGGAGCCTGGGAAGCAGGCGGTCTCTGAAGAGTCCTGACAGGCCATGGCTACTGATGGAGACACCTACTCATTGTGATGCACACATAGGGGCGGGGCAGGATGGCCCAGGGGTAGTGGCGAAGGCGGGGGCTCCCACCGTGACCCTCTGGCAGCCTTCACTGACTTCAGAGCTAAGCATGATATAGGAGACCTAGGTGGACCTGAAAACCCATGAGAACTGGGACCCGAACCACAGTGAAGAGGCAGGTCCCATGAGCAGGTGGCATGAGTCTGCCACAGCTAAATTCTACATCTGCTGCCAACTGTCAGAGATAAGGAAGAAGCCCATGTCATTGGTAAACCCAAACCCAAATTACTGGGGCACATCGTGAAAAGGTAGTTTCTGGTTCAGTACGTCTGAGTGTGGGTGGCTTTGGGTCCAGTGGCACTCTTGGTGCACACCAGTCTGTCATGCACCCACAGTGTGAGAGGGATTCCTCATGAATACCCCTGCTAATCACACCGAACAGAGATCTGCTCAGATGGGGCCCCGAGAATCTGAGAGACACATGGCTGGGCCATTGTCAATCCAAGAATTTCAAGTTCAGTGGCCACCACTTAGGGAAACTATGGAATTGTCTCGGTCTGATGCTCAAAACGAACTCACAGGGACATGATCTGCCTAAGACAAACAAGTGTGAAATGAAGATCAAATGCTATTTCTTCCATTTACTAGTTGTGGGACCTTATGTAACTGTTGTGTAAATAAGATATTGTGGGTAAAATGCCTGTCACAAAGTAGCTGCCAAAAAATGCCAGTTCAACCCCCAAAACTGAGGTGGCCTGAATTTCTCTCTCTACTTGGTGTTGCTTTATGTCCTGGAAAGCCACAGTTAGAAGAGGTGCTGAGGAATTTCTGTCTCTCACCTCTAAGCAAGACATCCAGCCCTGCCCAGTCCTGCTGGTCCCTGTGGAGGGATCTCACCATCTCCCATGCAGCAGAAGTTTGAAAAATGAATTTGTTCATCTTCCTGGAGCATATGGAGTTTTTAGAGCTTCCCTTCTGAGCTGTTTATGAATCAAATGGCAGAGCCATTCTCCCTCTGAAGGTCCCCAGGAAGCCCAGCAAGTCCTCACCTAACCCTCATTTCATGCTGATGCTTTTTTGCACATCAATAAGCAGTCTCAAGGCCAAGACTGTACCAGGCCCCCACCCACCTCTCTGACTTCCCCCCTATGGCTCCCTTCCTCCTCCAGCCCTTTCCAGGCACACTGGTCTTCTTGTCTCCTGTGAACTTGCCAAGGCTGTTCCTGCTTTGGGCACAGCACTTCGTGGAAGCCCCCACCCAGGTAGCCACGGGGGGGCTCTTCCTTCATCCAAGTCCCGGCTGAAATGCTGCTCCCTCTCAGAAGGCTTCACTGGCCCTCTTCTCCACTACTCAGTTTTATTTTCTTCTTAACATTCATCACTACCCCAACCATCTTATTTGTTTAGTTACCTGTTAATTGTCTGTCTCCCTCTACCAAGCCGCAAGCTGCCCAAAGGCAGGGACCTCATATGTTTAGTTAATAAGCATCGAGGATCCCAGGACAGTGACTGGATGCTTTGCCCATTCCTGCAGCAGCAACACTTTTCCAAGGAACACTATCAAGTGGATCTATGAGTGTTATAATTCTATGATGCAATAGGTTAGACGACTATTCAGGGTTTTGGGCATTGCCAGAAATATGCAACTCCAGGAGGGAGAGGAGTGGGGAGAGGAGGGATATGCCTCTAGGCAAAGGCAAAAACTTTGCTTTGAGCTTCTCATGTCCCAGAATCCAAACGTCCATCTGACCGCAGGATCAGAGTGAGAGAAGTTTTGCTCTGTCTTCTCCCACCTGAAATCAACAGGAGGCTGTTATTCATTGCCTCAATCTCAGGTTCTAGGATCAAACTAGAGGGAAGCCTTCGGGCATCAGGGCAGTGGCCAATGCCAAGCACTCAAGCAACGCTCAACTTTAGAGACATTGTCTAATAAAGATAACGAGAGCTGGACTCTTCATATGGATTTTTAGGCTGTTCTAACTCATCACATGGATCTTTCATTTGTCTTAAGAAATTGTCTCAGTGACCAGAGATGGTTTTTAGAAAATGCATGAGCTGTGATCCTCTCTAACAAACATACACTGTGGCCATGCCTTGTTTAACTCCACACGGATCACCTAGCATGGGGGTTCTAGAAAGGGATGGGGGAGCTGCTGCTACAGGGGTTCATTTTGTCCACCCATCCCTGGTTCTTCATGATTCCTTCGTGACTCCATACTCAAAACCAAGCCTTGTCAGTCCTGAGAATGGCTCTGGCTCTGAGGTAGACGAGTGACTACCAAGGCAGCCCAGAATAAGCACAAACGAAGCAAACTCTCCTGTCCTTACGACCCTCAGGACAAAGTAGAGAAGAGGGTAACTGGGCTATTGGAAATGTCAGCGCCCTGAGGTCCCCGTAAAGCACCGGATGGTGCAGGAACAGGAAGTCTCAGCTTTCCTTGGTAAGATGAGGCAAGCTACTCGGGGCCACACTGTCCAGAGAAACTTTGTTTTGTGGATGCGCAGAAAGCAATAAGTTTTTCTGGTATTAGAGATTCTTTTAGAAGTGAGTATAGAAGGCCTGCCAGCATGAGAGCCCCTGGGGCACCTGCAATGGGGGAGCTCAAAACAAAAGTTTATTCAAAATACAGTGAGCAAGTCAGTAGTGTCCTGCCCCAGGACCCCAAACTCTACCTACGCTATCCCTTTCCGGCTCTTTCTCACCACCCATGAAGTGACCTCTGAAGTGTCCAATTCTCTTTATGAGCAAGGCAGGGCTGGAAGTATTTTAGACTGGGCCTGCTGCACTCACCGTCTGCGTCTGCTGCGCCTCTGTCGGGGAGCAGCTGCCGACCGTCAGCATACCTCATGATGGCAACTGTTCTCCTGTCTTGATTTCCCTGAGCACTTGCTTCTGCTAAAAAACCATGAGAAGAAGGAAAAGTGAGGACGGTTGCATGAGCAGGCTTCATGGCGGCCAAAGTAGGAGATTTTTTTTTTTATGCCTCTGAACATCGGCTGTCCTGGGAGGTTTCCCACAGGTGTCCATCATGTGCAGGACTGGACAGAAGCTCCAGCTGTTGGATGTCATGCTAGGGAGGCTGAAGGACATTTAATGTGTTTCATGGACTCATTGCCTAGAACAAGGAAATGCACTGTCTGAGGACAGAGTGGAGGAGAGGAGGCTCATTTGAGGAAGTGCTCTCCTGAGTGCTATCCTTTCTTCCTCCTGCTACCTCTGGGTCCCTGCGTGCCAGGGTAGGGTGGAGCACAAGAAAGACCCTGTAGGGCCCTTTCTTCTGCATTGCTTTGGCCTTAGACATAGTTCTGAATGCTGACTGCACATAAGAATCACTGAAGACCCTCGCTCCTGCCCCTCCCTAAGAATCCCCCAGAAATAATGTGTGTCCCATGGGAGATAATCTAAGGAAACAGACCAATGTGGAGAGAGCATCAGTGGACACAATGGTGTTTCCATGTCCCCTGCCCCGCCCCACAATGGCTTTGAGAGACTCTATCTTGCCACGTGGAGATGTCAATTGTCACTGGGAGAAAACATCCTGGCCCCCAGAAGTTTAATGGAGTCCCTTAGGAAGTGGTATCTGCATGAGGTTCCCCCTGAGAGTTCCTGGCCTTCCTGCTGGAGCCCCTCCACATGCTGCGCTCCAGGGTGGATGAAAGCGGACAGGGAGAGACAGACTCACCCTCCCCCAGAGCCTGGTGGCTGAGGCTCACAGCGGGATATCCAGGGCTGCTGGGGAAAGGGACAGGGGGCTGGGAAATGCGCAGAAGCATGAAAAGAAAGGGCTGGATCTTTCCTTCCTTCCTGGGACCACATGTATGTTTGTGCAGTTTTCTCTACATGGAGGCACCTGGCCAAGGGGTTCAGGGTGAGGACTGACGTCAGCCCAGACAGAGGGTGGTCGTTTTCTTCTAGAAGAAGCCATGTCTGGGGACACCACAAAGGTGTCCTTGTTGTTAATTTGCACAGAGGCACTGTTTGGGGCCTCGGGGGATGGGGTGGGGGGGTGCTCTATCCCTCGCCCTCCTTTCACACCCTCCCTCCCTCCCCTTTCTCAGGCTCCATTCTGAGGGCTCCCGGTCAGGCACCCTTCCTCACTTTCTACTCCGAGTTGCTTTTCCCTAGCTCAGAACTGAAAGTGGGTTCGATTCTACTGGTTCCGACCTTGATCCAGAATACTGTTTCTCTAAGAAGTGTGGGAACCCTCAGTAGGCAAGTGGGAGAGAGCAGTGTGGGGTCAGAGCCAGGCACAGCTGAGACCCATCCACCCTGTCCTGTGCCAAAGCCTCCAGCCCGGCCTTCTCCTCTCCAATGACCATGTGGCATGATGCCCCTCCCACTTTACTTTGTCCATTTCTGATATCAAAGAAGAGAAAAAGGGGGAAAGTTTGTTTGCTCTCTCTCTAGAAACCCTCTGTGCTGTGAGGCTGGCATGAGGGTGGGAGGGAGGGGGAGATATCAGAGGATGAGCTGCCCAGAGCCTGGAAATTCTGGGGCTAAAAGTTCTAATGAGGACTGCGCCTGGTCCTTATTGCCAAAGTTATTTCCTGTTTTTTATTTAGATCTTTGTATCTCAGTGCCCACATCAGTAAAATGTGGATCTAAATAAAAAACAATAAACCAACTATGGCTTACAGGGATGCTAAGGTGAGCTGATATTAGAATGAAAGCATCATTACAATGATTTTAAACGTTCTTCAAATCATCCATCTTTTCTTTGGGATAGCCTCACTTTTTAAAATAGTCATTATAATCCACATGCCCTAAAGACACATTCTGCATGTAATAGCTGTGTAAATAAGCAACCTCTGGACTTTGAGATTCCCCTGTGGGCCTCTGGTGTGGCTAAAGATTAGCTCCTGTCAGAAGGAATTCATTCCCTTCTTGGAGGTTCAGAAAGGCTTGCCTCCTACTACTGGGTTTCCCCTTCAGGTCAGCACTTCCATCTTAGGCTGTGGCTAATAGGTCGTGAGTGTGTGGGATGGATCAGCCTTGTGATGGAGACCTCACTGTTGGATTCTAGCTTCTTTGGGGGACACCATGAGCCAAATGGTAATCGGTCTAGATTAGCACTGGGTTGTTTTACCCTAAACTCCCACCCTCTTTTCAGTCCTGGAGCTGGGTGAGTCACGAATTTTGTCCCTCGTCCCAGTTTTGGAAGCTAGAACAAAATGTGGAAGGCAAAAGTTTCCAGCATGTGAGGAAGCCTGTGTTGGAGCCTCTGAAGCTGGGGAGCAGAGAAAGCACTCACAAATAAGAGCTGCATGGGAAATGCCCAGAGAAGAACCTCGAAGACTAATGTATGTAGAACTCTTTAGCTGGATCTATCGGCCCAGCTCAAAGAACATCATAATAACCAGGATGCAAGAGAAGCGTGTTCAGGGCAAGATGGTTGAACTGAGCCTTGGAGCATGGTGGTGGGCAGGGACACTTCCTGTGTTGACCCTGCAGACACTGAACATATCTAAAGTAATTAGTGGAAAAACTTCTCAACACTAATGACAAGGCTTCTCTTTTTTGCTTACCCTTGTGATCACGTGGGGTTTTAGGTCTGCCCATGATCTCATCCTCTGTGGCATTCAAGTTCTGGATCAAAAAGTATGTGGTCATTTTCCCTTTACCTTTCACTTCGATTTCACCCCTCTCAATGATTTGAAATCCTTGATTTTTCAAGGCTCTGCACAGAGAAAAAAAAAGTGCATCAGATATCAAAGACTGTGGGTCTGTAACTCAAGAGTTGTCTACAGGCAACTCAAGAGACGTGCAGGATGCAGGACACACAACAGCAGAGCAGGGAGGATCCCAGACACCAGCCTGCTGAAGAGGAACATAGGCCACGGACAAAGTCAGGGTGAGATTCTCAACAAGATGCCAAAGGCCAAAAGTGAGCACAGGGACTTACCAAAACCCTGCCAACATTGCCACTAATTTCCCTCTCTCCAGCTCACTCCTCATATGGCATCTCTCATGTTTCTACACACCATGCTGTCAGTGCCCCTGTGGACACCACCCTTCGTGGTTCTGCCACGTAAGGCTCTTGGGTATCAACACTCTTCTTTCCATCTTCCCCAAGTGCACCACATACCCCGCACTTGCTACCGTGCTCATCCTAACTACCCAAACTTTCTCCACCATAATTTCTGTCTGCCAACCAACTGAAGAGGACGACTGTAGGGTAGGGACCATGAAAAGAGACAGAGCTATGGGGTAATTACAAGGTATTTCCCTGTTGATTTATTTACTGTCCACCAAGTGATGGAGAAAAGGCAAAGAACCCTCCGACCAGTGAGGATTCAAATTCACGACCACCTGCCTCGGCACTCCATCGAGGCTTCCCTTGTCGTTGGCCAGGTTGGTGGAGAGTTCAGACCTTCACCACACTCCTTTTGTGCCCCCATTTGGCATCTGCTCCCCTCACTCACAGGCTGGTGACTGTGCCTCCCACTTTCTGATCTGATTCATCTACAACATTACAGTAATTACAGGTGACAGCCTGTGACTTCTCACCCCTTGACTACATCACCCTTCTCCCCAGTCTGTGAGAATGAGGTGTCTTTCTTGCTCAGGGGCTCCTCATCCATGCCCTCTTCCCACCACTTCTGGGCCTTGCTCCATCGGCCACCCCACCCTTATCTTCAGCTCCCTCTCCATTTGCCTCTCTCCTTCTGCTTGTCAGTGTGCTTATGTCTCTTTCATCCTAAACAGAAGCAAACCAACAGCCTCTCACCTGCTTTAACCCCATACGAGTTTTCTCTTCTTTTTATTCTTCAGCCCAAGGTCTATCCCACCATTTTACTACAACCCCTTTTGATAACCCCCAGAACCTCTAGTGGGTATTTTTCAGTCCTTATTACCACATTTGACATTGCTGTTCAATTCCTCCTTCCTAAGTCATCCACGAGAGTGCTTCTCACCCTAAACGCCCCTCGTCCTATTTCTTCTCCTGCCTCTCCCATGGGCTCCTCTTCCTCCCGTGCCATTTAAATGCTGGTTCTGTGTAGGATTCCATTCTTTTCCCACTGTTCTTTGCACACTGCATCCTTCCCTGGGTGATCTCATCAACTCTCATGACTTTACCACCTATATGTTGCTTACTCTAAGTCTGGATCTTCAAAAACTCAAACTCCAAACTTCATGCATGCATTTTGTGCGACCTCTAGCTGAATGTTCCACAGTTTCTTTGAACCCAGTGTGTCCAGCCTAAACTCATTGCCTGCCGCTATGAGCTGGGATACTTATTTGTCCTATTGCAGGTGGCGAGGCCATCATTCAAGCCCTAGTCACCCAGAATGGAGACCTGGGCTTCTCCCTCCTTCTCCTCCCCCATTTCTAACTAGTTTAGCTGGTTTTACTTCCCCCATATTCCCGCCACTAATGCTCTGATTCAGACTAAACTCCTAACAGGTCTTGTCTATCTCATTTTCTGATTCTCAAATATGTCCTTTTAGGGTCTCTAGAGTGCTCAGTGTCAAATAGGACCTGGCCCTGTCACTGGCTTCAAACTCACGTTCCTTGGGGGCTTTTCCTAACCTGCAGCATAGGGTCCTTGCCCTTCAGTAAGGCACATGTGGCTCTCATCACTCCTGCCTCATATTTTCCAATACAAAAAAGCTTACGTGTTTATAGTTCTCTGCACCTATCCTACATGTGAACCTGTACCTGCTTTTTACCCCCAATACCCCAATTTTGTCTAAATTTTACTCTGGAACTCTTTGTTGAAGATTTAGCTCAGGAATCTCCACGAAGCCCATTTTTACTGGGTCAAGCTCACTAGCCCTGGGCTCCCACGACACCCCCTGTGATTCCCTTGGGGATAAGAGTGCCACAGTTAATGGGGGGACTGTGAACCCTGACTCTGTGGGCTGCATCTGGGCTATTCTCCTTCCTAGCCTGCCTGTTCCTGAGGCAAATGATTAACCTTTTTCTGCCTTTTCTTTCATCTGTAAATAATAATAATGCATCTTTACAGAGCTGTTGCAACTGTAAGTGAATTAACATGTGAAAATTTAGAATAGAATGTGGCCTATTGTAAGTGCTCAAGAAACTACAAATATTGTTTTATACACACATTTATCATTGTATTTATCTCATTTTAAAAATAATTAACTGCAACTTTTCTTTTTTCTTCTGCTAGACCAAAAGTCAGCACACTGTTTATATAAAAGACCAGAGAATAAATATTTTAGACTTTGTGTATTATATGGTCTCTGTCGCAGTCATTCAACTCTGCCTTTGTAGCATGACATCAGCCATAGACATCAACCATAGACAATATGTAAATGAAAGTGCGTGGCTGTGTTCCAATAAAACTTTATTTACAAAAATGAGCAGCAGACTAGATTTGGTCCGTGGGGTTATAATTTGCTGTTCTCTGGACTAAACTACAATCCCCCCTGAGAGTAAAAACTATGTTGCAGTAGAAGCTCAACTATATTTGTTATCTGCCACAATATCTTCTGTAAGCCATTGAGGCATGGAAGAAAAAGCATTAGTTTCCTTCCCTACCCTATGCCATGGCTGCTAGGCACTCTGTAAGTTCTAGAAGGAAGGAGAGACAAAGGCATGAATAAATGGAAGCTTACCTGTAGGTTGTGGGGCTGAGGTGTACTTTGTTGGGAAGCCCATGACTTTCCATTCTAGAAGCTGTGTTCACAGTGTCACCGAACAAGCAGTACCGTGGCATCTTGTCTCCCACAACACCTGCTAAGACTGGTCCAGTATGGATACCCACTCTGATCTGTACAGAGAGAGCATCACTGAAAAGAGACCATCTAATACTCTTGCTTTTATTTCTAAGTTAAGGTATAATTTACATAAAATAAAAAACAGATAAAATGTTTAGCTCCATGAGTTTTGACACATGTGTATATCCCTGTAAGCACCAACCGAAATAAAATGTAAACTAGTTCCATTACTTCACAAAATGATCTTGTGCCCCCTCCAGTTGAGCTGTCTCCCCATCTTCTCCAGCAGAGATAACTACAGTCTCATTTCTTTTACCAAAGAATGATTTGCCTATTCTAGAACATCTCATATGTACAATTATATAGTATATACTGTTTTATATCTGGTTTCATTTACTCAGCATAAGATTTTTGAGATTCATCTATATTGTATTACATATCAGTAGTTCATGATTTTTATCACTGAATAGTATTCTATTGTAAGAATATGCCACATTCATTTATCCAGTCTCCTTTTCATGAACATTTATTTTTCAGTTTGAATCTATTAAAATTAAGGCTGTTATAAACATTTCTATGCAGATATTTTTGTAGACACATTTTCCTTTCTCTTAAGTAAATACCTAGAAGTGGAATTTCTGAGTCACAAGGTAGAAGCATATTTAATTTTATTTAAAAAAAATAAAAGTAAAAATCTTTCCCAACAATCCTCCAAATTTGTTTTACTATTTAATATTTCTATCAGTAATGTGACATTTCCAGTTGCTCCCCATTTTCACCATCATTTGGTCTTCTCGTGGATGTGAAATGATATCTCACTGTGGTTTTAATTTGTGTTAAACTGGTAACTAATGATGTTAAGCACACTGTCATACACACATTGGCCGTTCGTATATTTTCTTTCGTAAAAAATCTATTCAATTTTTTGCCTGTTTTAAAAATTGAGCTGTTTGACATTTATTGTTAGTGTGTATGAGTTGTATACATATTTGGATATGTAATATGTGTGTATTATAAATATTTTTATCAGTCTGTGGGTTTGTGTATTTATTTTCTTTAATAAGCAGAATATTTTAATTTTGATGAATGTATTCGTCTGCTTAGGCTGCCATAGCAAAATACCACAGACTGTGTAGCTTAAACAATGGAAAGTAGTTCTCACAGCTCTGGAGGCTGGAAGGCCAAGATCTAGCTGTGGGCAGGGTGGGTTTCTCCTGAGGCCTCTCTGCTTGGCTTGTAGATGTCCACTTTTGGCTGTGTCCTCACATGGGCTTTTCTCTGTGCACATGCATTCTTAGTGTCTCTTTATGTCCAAATCTCATCTTCTTATAAGGACATCAGTCGCATTGGATGAGGGCTCACTCTTAAGGCCTCATTTTACTCAGTAAAGGCTCTAGCTCCAAAGACAGTCATGTTCTGAGGTACTGAGTAAGAAGAGTTTCAAAGTAAGAATTTTGGGCAGGACACAATTCAGCCCATAACAGTGAAGTTTACCATTTTTTTTCCTTTCATGATCTGTTCTTTTTATGTCCTATCTAAAAAAAAAAATCATTGTTTGCCCCAAAGTCATGACACTATTCTTTACTTCCATCAAGAAGCTTTATGATTCTAGATTTTATGTTTAGGTTTGTGATATATATCAAATAATTTTTTGTATATGAGGTAAGGTAGAATTGAGGTACATTTTTTCTTTCCATATGGTATTTGATGGTAACATAATCATTTTTTAAAAAGAGGCTGCCTTCTCCACTCAATGGTTTGGTGCTTGGTCAAAAATCAGTGGGCTAAATGTGAAGTCTATGTCTGGACACTTTGGGCTACTCCAGTGGTCTGTCTGCTCTCCTCCCAGTCTCACTCTGTATTTTTTTACTGTCGCTTAGTTAAGTCTTAAAATTAGTTGTGTACATCCTCCAATTTTGTTGTTTTTTAAGATTGTTCAGGTTACTCTAGATTCTTTACATTTCCATATATATTTTAAAATCAACTTGTGAATATTTCCTAAGAAGCCTGCAGGGATTTTGATTGACATTCTACTGAATCTATACATCAATTTGGGAAAAATAAACAACTTAAATATACTGAGTTTTCTGATAATGAATACAATATATCTCTCTATTTAATTAGGTCTTCTTTAATTTCCCTAAGCAATACCTTGTAGGTTTAAGCATAAAAGTCATATATATCTTTTGTTAGATTTATTCCTAGAAATTTAAATAATTTTATTTCCTTTTTATTTCATTTTTCAATTTTTTGTCCTTAGTATGTAAAAATTTAATTAATTTTCCTGTATTTATCCTATGACCTTGCTAAACTCATGTATTAGATCTTGCAGTTCATATAATGTTTTATTGTATTTCTTGTAGTTTGTATAAGGTTTTCTAAGTGCACCATTATTTGTTCTGCGAATAATGATAATTTTATTTCTTCATTCATTTCCAGGCTTAATGTCTTATATTTCTTCTTCTTGACTTAGTGCATTGGGTATGGTTTTTCGTATACTTCAACTAGAAGTGGTTATCTTTGTATGTATTCTGCTTGGATTTGCTGAGCTCTGGATATGTGCATTGATATCCTTTATCCATGTCTAAAAATTCTCAACTATTATTTCTTCAAATACTTCTTCTTACTCATTCTCACTCTGTTCTCCTTCTAGCATTTCAGTTATATATATGGGAGTCCATTTGACATTGTCCTTAGCTCTAGTGTGTCTTCTTCCCTTTTTTCACCCTGTTTTCTTCTTTGCATTTTAGCTTGGATGATTTCTATTTCTTTGTCTTCAAATTCCCTGATTGTTTCCCTCTATTGTGTCTAGTCTTTATTAAGCCCATAAAATGAGTTTCTCACTTCTGATTTCTGATATCATCATTTTCTATTGGATATAGATATAGAGATAGATGTAAATACAGGCAGTGTGCATGTATTTCCTATATCTTCACACTTGCTTTGCCCTTTTCTTATAGACCCTTTAAAATATTTATCAGACTTATTTTAAAGATCCTATTTGATAATTCTAACATCTGGGCTATCTCTGGGCCTGCTTCTATTGACTGTTTTCTCTATTGGCTATCCACTATATTACCGTTTTCTTGTTTCTTCTTACATCTCATATTTTTCATTATTTAATTGAATGATCCATGTTGTGTGTGAAAATACAGTAGAGACTGAAGTAGATGACATTTATCCCCCAGAAAATGTTACATCCCTTCAGAATCAGGCTGCTGGAATGGAGAGTAATTAAATCTAATCTATATTTGAGTTGGATCTGGGCTTTTCCAGAAATATTGGTATATTCCATTAACCACTGGTTTCAAATATTATGAAGTCTGAATCAGAACTTTCAGTACAGCAGAGCTTAGAATCTGAGCACCAGCAAGGCTCTGAGGACCCTGAAGCTGTAAAGCCAATCCACCAGCTCTTGGAGTTTTGGGAGATCTCCTTCTGCATTATAATCCAACAGTGAGATTTTCAGAAGTCTCTTTGCTCTTCAGTCCTACCCTGGCTCTCTGCACCTTGGGAAATTTTTCTCTGCCATTTGTCCTTGCCCGCAGACTTCAAAAGGTCATCGTAGTGTACTTGGTGGAGACCAAAAGTACTTCAGGTGAATTTCTCTCAGTTCTCTTACTCAACACTAGCCTTTAATGGGCCACTGCTTTGCATTTGGGAAAGGCCCCAAACACCTCAGGGACTGGGGCGCTCTCTCAGCTCTCCTCTCCTGTCCTAGTCTTTGGCTCACTAAACCTCTGCACTTGGCCTATGAGAAAGAGTGGTAGATGGGTACAGACTCTGCGGCTGGGGCTCTTTGGGATTCTAACATGTTGTTTCAGCCCTGTGACCATTAAAAATTCACTAAAATTTAAATGGGCTTATCCCTACCCTCACCTCTGGTGGATTACTTCTTCTGCTGCCCTGCCAGGATTGAATGCAATTATGGATGTCTTCTCTTTGAAAGGACTTGCCACTTCCTGGAGTTAAGTTTTTGATTTCTTTGCTTTCTGGTGGGGAAAAAAAAAACTACCAGCATGGGAACAACAGTCTGTTGCAGATTTCTACATCCTAATCAGATTACTTGTTGTGTTTACTAGCTAGATTTTCTTCTCCTTGAAATAAAATTATAAATTCCTCTAGGAATAGAGGATTATCTGAACTCTTCAAAGCACCTAGTAATACTGTCTCATGCATGGATGGACCTCAGTAAATGTATATTAAAGCTGTCTGAATAAAAGAATAGAATATCTCAGTGCATAATAATTTTTAAAGTGTAGAAATGGCAGCATAATTCTGTAAAAGAGAAAATGTTTCCAGTTCTTTTCCCTATATCCTTGAATAAACCCATGTGATATGCTGTTTCTAGTGAGTATTTAATGATGCTTCTAATTATGTCCATAGTCTTACTTTGGAATTGTTAACATCCTTTCCTTTTCTTTTTCATGGTAAATCCACCTTCAGAGTTTCCCAGAATTAATTGTCTCATTTCATTCTTATTGGTATAGCATTATTTTCATCTCTGGTGCTACGCCCCTTTCACACACACACACACACTCACTACACTTTCCATTTACACAACCACATATTATTTTTTCACCAGTGGCTTACATGAGGGTGCCTTAACTGAAACATTTATCTCTTATCTAACCTTCTTTATATCTTCCCTCATTACCTCCCATCCTGATTTTTTATTTATTATATTGGATTTGTATTTCACTGATGCACACTGTGTGTTTGCAATGAGTCATTATGGCAGCTCTCTTGTTCTTGTGACTAAGACCAGCTTTTACTTAGGAGACTACAGTGAATGCTGTAGCCATGATCTACACTGCTTCTCAGCTTCTAACTCACCATGGTCAGGGTGAGTGGAGCATATTTTCAGAATCTCCTGTAAAAAGGTTATAATGTGGAAAAATTATATTCCATCTTATAATTGGCTTTTTTTATTCCGAGTTGACCAGTTTATTTTGAGTTTCTGACTGATAATAGCAGGGAAAGGATCTAGAGATAAAAGGCAGAGAGATGTGGTTCTCAGCCATCCCGGGAGCATTAGGATCTGCTGAGCTAGCAGAAGAGGACATTCATTTTTTATCTCCAAAACTGTTCAACTTTTAGAGTGTGAACAAACTTCCAGACTTGGAAGTGTACCTTCCTGTGAGAAAGGAGAGCAGATGTCTCGCTAGTGACCACGTGGTGGAAAGAAAGCCATTCTGAATAGCTTACGGCAGCACAGTTCCTGGCCTGCGGACTGCAGGCAGCTTCACACCTCAGCCTGAGATCTGAACCTGTCAGATGGCATGTTGGAGACACAGTTTCCTAAGCAGGAAAAGTTGGCTGCTAAGTAAACCTGAACCACTTGTTGAAATTCTTGAACAAAAAAGCAGGAATTATAAATGAGCTGGGTTTTAAGATGGAATGAACCCTCCTAGGTAAAGAGGAAGGACTGCTCAGCACTGTCCTAAATCACCAACAAAGGAAGGTTGCAGTCAACCATAGGAAAACCTTGAGCACCACAGCTCCTCTGAAATTTGAGAAAAGTTTAGACTATAGAAGCCTTAGGAATATCTCTATTAGGAACATATGCAAGAGAAGAAAAGGGATAGGATAAACTACTCATTTTAATGATGGCAACGTACCCAGTAATCACCTAAGCACATAAGTAGAATTCCACTCTTATGTGTGAGATGTGTGGCATTAAGCCAAGTACACAGTTGCTCTCTACCTGGATGGGTTCTCCAGTAACAGGATTCATCACCTCCTTTGCAGAAATCCTCATCCCCAAGGCAAAATTAGCCACTCTTTGAGCATGGCTTCCAACAGGCACTGGTACACCTCCTACCACCATATAAGCATCTCCAATTGTTTCTACCTGTCAGGGAAAAAAATAGATATTCAGAGGGTTTCCTTAATGTACTAAACATGTCGCTGTGCTTTTTTCCATTTTCCATATATTGACAAAGGGACTATATTAAAGTTGGCGATTCTTTGCTAAGGGTATGAGGAGCATCAGGGAGGAAGTGAGAAGGAAAAGGACTCAGGAAACATCCATGAGACAGCCTGTCTGCTTTTGGTGGAAACGAATCCCAGAGAAGAGGAAGCTCCTGGGGTAGTCATGTGATGCTACATAAGGAATAACACATGGTTTGGATTCGACTTTCTGTGGAATTTAGGAGTAGGAGAACCATTAAGCTCTAGGAAAACAGTGTTTGCCCCTCAAGGGCACCAGAGTACTATCTTAGCACCGAGTATTGTAAGAGAATTCCTAAAATACGTCCAATTCCCTTTCAGCTCTTATTTTCTGACCCTATACTCATCCACACTGAACCCCAGACCAGGGCCAGACAGAGGCAAAGGGAGTCTTAGAATCAAGCATTTGCCCTGCGTGAGCCCACTGTGAACACCCGACACTGCACAGACTCTTACTTTATAGACCGCGTGCACACTGGTTAATCTGTCAAACTTGGAGTACATGGAGTTCAGCATGTTCACTATCCGTATAGGTTCACAGGCAGCACAGATGTTGGTAAATGTCACCACATCGCTGAAAAGGATTGTGCAGCTTTTAAACTCTCCTACAACAGAAACCAGGCATCAGTGAGAATCAAGGAGACAGATTAATTAGTCCATGAATTCTGGATTCAGAGGCCCTTTGAGAATCAAACCTGCCTGTGCCTTGAAGAAAAAGGAGCTGGATGCCGTTTCCAATTCGGCATCACTCAACACACGTTTACTGAGTGCCCACTGCAAGCTAGTCATACTAGGAGAATCATATCACAGGGGGCAAGCAGACCAGGCCCTCGCCCCTAAGGAGCCCCCACTCTAATGAAGGAGACACACGGGTGAACAAATGCTTCTAGTAAGAAGTGACCAGTGCTGTGGAAGGACAGAAAGGGCCCCTAGCAAGTGGGCCAAGCAGAGCCTGAGCTGCAGGAGACCTGGGGACAGGGCTGACAGAGACTGGTCACTGTGAAACGGTGGGTCCCTGTCTTTGTGTGGCAGGGAAGCTATCTTGTCCTCAACACTTGTTCCTAAATCATGCCTCTGATTCCACCTTGGCTCCCATTCATGCCACCTTCCACCCAGCAGCCAGATGCCCTGTTTAAGTCAGATCTCCCACGCTTCAACCCCAAATCTTGCATGACTTCCATTATTCTTAGAATGCAATCCCAAGTCCTTGCCATGGCCTACAGAAGGGATCCCCCACCTCTGTCCCTGCCACGTCTCTGACCCCATGCCCCTCTGGCTCCCTCCACTCTGGCCACACTGGCCTCATGGGGTTTCTCCAGCATGCCAAGTACCTCCTGCCTTCGGGCTTCTGCACCTAAGGAAAGAGGTGTTTTCTCTGCCTGACATTTTTCTCAAATATCTACAGGGCCTGTCACTCACATTTCAAATGTAACCAACTCAGTGAGAACTCTCTTCACCACCCTATATAAAATAGCCCCTAGACTGGCTGTCCTCTTAGCCTGGTTGCCTTCCACCCACTCCATAGACATGTGGCATGATATTTTGTATGGAATGGTTTATTTGGTTATCATTGGCCTCCCCGCTGGAATACAAAGCTCCATGAGATGGGAGACTCTCAGTTTAGATCTCTGCTGTATTCCAAGCACCTAAAGCAGGGCCTGGCACACAGTAGATATTCAATAAATATTGAGTGAATAAATTGATGACTCCTTGAATGCAACTGGGTGCCTTCTATGTCAGTTACGCCTCTGGGGGTAATTTCCCCTTCGTGGAACTTTCTCTTCTCCTTGGCTTCTGGCTATCATTCTCTCTTCATATTCCTCCTGCCTTTCTGATCCCCTCGTTTTACATCTTTCCTTGGCTTCTCAACCTTCTTAAGTAGTAGATGTTCCCTAAGGAGTAATACTCCATGCTCTTCTCACTCCCTGCCCTCTAGGTGATCTTATCCCCTATTCACAGAGTCTATGATTAACCCCGCCCACATTGCAATAACCCCCAGGTGTGTAGCTCCATGCCACAATGTTCCCGTGAGCTCTCGCTAAGATTCCTACCTCTGATCATGCTATGTGGCACAGACATCTCAAACTCAATGGTTCTAAAACGGATCTTGTCATTCTCCCCCAACCCTGCTCTTGTTTCTGGCCCTGTCTTAAGGATAAAGCAGCCCATTTTTCCGTGCAAGAAGCCTCAGACCCATGCCTGCCTCCTCTGTCTTACCTTCCCCACCTGGTCAGTGAGGACATCCTGCTGATTCTTTTTTCCTCTTTGCTTGCTGAGATTCAGCCTCAAGGCCCAACTCAAGTGGCTCACACTTTTGAGAGGCGCCTTCACCACTCAAACCTGCCCCTATCTCTTTCTCTCCTGACACCTATTTCTTATTACTTTCCTTGTCCCTATGTCACCACAGCACCTTATGTGATGGAAAGAGTGTGGATTTTGGAGTTAGATGGCCTTAACGCAGTTAGTTTCCAGCTCTTTCATTTGTCAGCTGTGCTGAACGTCAGTTTGCTTAGCAATATTATATGGACAACACCTCCCTCATTAATTTTGAGAAAAATTAATGAAACAGCACATGTTAAATGTCTAACACGGATCCCAGCACAATAATTGCTTTTTAATGCAAATGAATTTCTTTTCCTTTGGTCATTCCCACCCCCATTAACTTATTCTGCATATATCTAATAAAATCACAAGGCTGTGAACTCCTCTGTGTGCCCAGATCTGGAAGAGTACCCTGACACAGAGTAAGCTCACCAGGTGTCTCTGGTGAATGAACGCAGTCCCGTGACAAATGAAAAGTGAGTTCAGGGTAAACACAAAATTCCTGCCTCTGTAAATAGTGTACTGCCCCAGAACGGTCCTCAGAGGAACCCTATGATTTAACTAGTGTGAGAGTGTATTATTTCTAGTTATAATTAAGAACCCTATTCATTGTCACTGAGTAATGAGGCCAATCTCAGGACACATCCTTAAATTCTGAGAGAACTTAATGTATGTGTAGTTGACAACCATTTTTATATAATTCATGTTTCACTCCTATAATATTTTTATCAATGTAGAGAGAACAAAGCTGAGGATAGGCAGGTGGAGTAATTAGCCCAAGATCATGTCACTTACAAGTGACAGAGCCAGAATTCAAAACCACTTCTGTCTGGTTTCAAACCTGTGCCCCTGACCACTAAGACATACGTCCCTGTGCAGGAAACGGCGCCTTACCTGCAGCCACCCTTTTGCCCTCCCTCAGCTGGTTGGCAACGTGTTTGGGCAGCATGGCATAAAGCAAAGTCTCTGTTTTCTCCTTTTCGATGGCCAAGTGCTTGGAGAGGACCCGCAGCTCCTCCTTCTTCCTCTCCAGCTGGTTGCACAGCTCCATCTCAGCCAGCCGCTGCTGGTTCAGGAGGATGAGATCCCTGGTGGTGTCATGGAGGGCGATGTCAGAAAGATGCATATTGCATTCTTCCAGCTCTTGCAGGCTGTGGAGCTTTGGAGAACACAGGTACACCATGCACTGCATGGACTCCATCCAGATCATCTGGCCTTGCCATCATGGAGAGAAATGCAACAATAAGATTATGTCACCAGCAGGGGCTGAGATGAGCTCACTGGACCACCAATCATCTCCCACACTGTACTTCTAGCTACTGCACAATCAAGCTCCTTCTCTTTTACTCAGGGTCCCTGAGAGTTACGTGCATTTTCTGTCTCCACTTACTCATCTCTTCTCTTTCCCCAGCAGCTCTGTCTATTGTCTACTTTGAGGTGGCTCCCATCTAACAATGGCCTCCATGCTGCTGATGCCAACACAAGTTTCTTGGCCTTCTTTTTACTTAGTCCTTCTGCTGTTTGATGATGTTAACCAGACCCTCCTTCCTGAAATCTCACTTCCTAGGACTTCTCCGACACTGCTTTCTCTATGAGATTTCCCCTAATGCTTTGAATTTTTATTTACATTATTTTAATCTCATTCCTTAAGCATTAGTGTTCTTGAGGGTTCTGTCTTGGTATTATTGGTTAGCATCACATAACTGCATCCTACACATGCTGACTATGAATCTGAATTTCCAGAGAAAACTTGCTTCCTGAACTCGAGATGTGTATTTCTTTAAAAATAGATGTTTGTTATCTTATTGTAAAAGCAGTACATATTCATTGCAGAAAACAAAAAAAAGTGAAAGAAAATAGTAAAAATCACCCACAATCACACCTCACAGATAATTACTGTTAATATTTTGGAGTATATCTTTGTTTTACAAAAAAAAAAGAGGGATTACATGGCATCTTCTTTTCATAATCTGAATTTTTCACTTAAAATATATAACATATTCTTTCGTAGTATTAAACATAGAGATGCATCTTAATTTTTGCCTTGCTCATACTGTATGTTAATAGATAATAAGCTAGTATTGATTATATTATATCTAGTTTGTCATTGTATGAACAACATTGTGACGAATAAGCTTGAGGCAATCTTTGTGTATGGTCACGGTTAGTTAGTTAAAAGATATATTCTTAGGCACGGGTTACTTAGACAAAGAATATGCTCATTTTTAAGGCTTTCGATACATATTGCCAAAATCCCCTCTAGGGTGATTGTGGCAATACCTCCATGAACAATGTTTTTTTTCTTCTGTGCTTCCTATTAGGTATCTGTTCATGGGTATCTGCACTGAACTCATCTTCAACCCTCTCTACAAATCTCTCTTTCTATTAGTTCTTTCATTTCATATGTATTTAGTCCCTACAATTAGCCAGACACACTGTTTTCAGCATTGAGTATACAGCAGTGACTCAAACTTATAAAAATCCCTGCCTCAAGGATGTTATATCATATCCTTTTTCCAGTTAATTGCACCTTCATCACCCAGGTACCCAAGCAAGGAAGCTAATAATTAGCCTAACGATTCCCCACATGCAGTCACCAAGTCCTGCCTTAATTATCTTATGAGTCTATCCTCCAATTGCCACCCCAGTGCTGTGACTGGAGTTTAGCAGCTTAGAGCTTCTCTCCTGTACTCCAGAAGTGGCCTCCATCTGGCCTCCCGGGATCCATTTTCTCTACACTCTGATTGATCCTTCACACATCTCCAGAGTGATCATTCTAAATGTCGAATCTGATCAGGATAAACACTTCAGCATGTTTCCAGCTGTACAACAGAGTTCAAGTCCTCATCTTGCCAGCCTGCCCTCCCATCACTCCACTCTACACCTCACTTGAGTTCCCAGAACATGTCATTCCCTTCTTGGACGTCCCCCCAGCTCTGCCTGTGCTTATCCCTGGAATACATAATCATACCTCTAATAGAAAGACAGTTCAAAATGTGTGCCCTTTCATGCCATAAACAAAAATTTGCTCAGAATGAATCAAAGACCTAAATGTAAGACCTAGAACTATAAAACTCCTAAAAGAAAACACAGCGGAAAAGTTTCATGACATCAGATTTGGCAACAATTTCCTGGATATGACACCAAAATCACTGGCAACAAAAGAGAAAATAGATAAATTGGATTTCATAAAAATTAGAGTCTTTTGTGCATCAAAGGACACAACCAACAGTGAAAAGGTAACACAAAGAATGGGAGAATATAGCTGCAGATTATATATCTGAGAAGAGGTTAATATACAATAGATTAGAAATTCTACAACTCAACCACAAAAGCAAACAACCCAATTTAAAATGAACAGAAGACTTGAATAGACATTTTTCTGAAGAGTAAGTAAAAATGGCCAATAAGCACATGAAAAGATATTCAATATCACTCATCATTAGGGAAATACAAATCAAAACCACAATAAGATAGCACCTCACACCCATTAAGATGGCTACAATTTTTTTTTAAAGCAGACAATAATAAGTGTTCATGAGGATGTGGAGAAACTGGAACACCTGTGCACTTTTGATGCGAATGTAAAATAGAGCAACCACTATGAGAATAAGTATGGCAGTTCCTAATTTTAATAAATCCATATGATCCAGCAATGACACTTCTGGATACACAATCAAAAGAAATGATGGCAGGGACTCAGGGAGGCAAAAATATTTATAGTAATATTATTCACAATAGCCAAGTGTTAGAAGAAACCCAGTGTCCAATGATGGGTGAATGGATACAGAAAATATTGTCTATTCATACAATTGAATATTATTCAGCCTTAAAAAGGACGGAAATTCTGACACATGCTACAGACTGGATGAACTTTAAAGACATTACGCTAATTGAAATAGGCCAGTCACAAAAGGACAGGTACTGTACGATTCCACTTATATGAGGTATCTAGAGTAGTCAAATTCATGGGAACAGAAGGCAGAATGCTGGTTGCCAGGGACTAGAGGAAGGACAAAAGAGGAGTGATTGTTTAATAGGTACAGAGTTTCGGTTTTGCACAACATGAAAAAGTTCTGGAGATGGATGCTAGTAAAGGTAATACAGCCTGTGAATGTGCTTAATACCAATGGGCTGTACATTTAAAAACGATTAAAATGGTAAGTTTTATGTTGTGTAAATTTTACTACAATTAAAAACGAAATGTGTGTGCTACTAATAATGAGTTAGATGATCATGCTGCTATATAAATTAAATTAATTAAATTAAATTAAAACCAATAGTACCTCATGCATTCTGAAAATGTTGGTAACAGATCAGAATTTTATAATTATATAACATATAATTTTATAGTTATATATACATGTAACTATATTATACATATAATTTATGTCTAAACCAGAGATAGTTGAGGAAATAAAATATATTGTTTGTAGGTCAAGTCAAGTGGAAATGTCTGAAAAAAGAAAATGTGCTCTCAACATAGTCCCTACCCCACTTTTTGGGAAACTGGAAAACTGCCTCTTGCCTTTCTGATCAATCTTTCAAGCAGGCGTGGAGCAACAGGAAAGGAGTGAGTGATTACCTCGAAGTTTGAGTGTGGGCTGACTTTGCCATGCTGCAGGCATCATTTCTCTTTGCGTCTTCAGGACAAATTGACTGTTGATAAATTTGCGGATGCTGAAAATGTTGAAGGTAATTTGAGGATGAATGATGGAGAAATACTCATTCAGTTGAATCTTCTGGGTTTGGAGTCCTGGTACATACTTCTGAATGTTCACTCTGGCTTGCTTGACCTGTAGCTATCCACAGAGGACAGGTTAAGACAGAGAAATAGAAAGCAACCCTCCCTCCCCATAAACTTTCCCTTGGAAATAACATTCTAGCCATGTTCTGTGGCTCACTATGGGGAAAGGGGGTCAGCAATGGAATCAACAACATGGAAGTAATAAATTTTTTGAATCAATCAAATCTGTGCTAATGTTTGAAAGAGGAAAGAATAGTACAAGAGTGCTCAGAGGCTTATTTCTGACTAAAGAGAAATGAGGTTACAGCTCTCTATTGGACTAATAGTTCCTCCATAGCTCTCTGAGACAACTCAGCATTGGATGTAACGCCCAGGCCTAGGTGAAGAAATCCATCAAATGGGTGGGGAGATGCCTTTCACTGCTATCTCCAGTGAACACACAGAAGGAAGAAGTAAAATAGGTGTCTTTTAAATGAGTTCTGAATCAATTCAGTTGACATATATTTTATCCATGGGAATGGATTAACAATCCAACTTAAATGGTTATGCTCACAACTCTCACAGAGCAGTGGCATGAGCTGACATGGACCTCTCCCCCATGTTCAAGGTGCAGAATGTGAAGCTCAGTGGGATGGTGACACACATGGTGGTCACAAGGATGGGAAGAGATCATGGGTAGCATTCCACCCTGTGGTTGCTACTGACTGTGTTCTGTTGTCTCTTTATGTAGTGAATTTTAGCATCACTTCCTTTTCCCCTTTTTTCTAATGGTAAACTTTCCCATGCATTTACTAGTTCAAACCTCCCTTTCTACCCTATCAAAAAGATCCCACATTCTGGTTTCTGGAGGATATCACAACATGACAAGGAAATCAATGGTCCTGCCAGGGTAAACCCTAGTCTCCGAAGCCCTGGGAATTTCTCAGGGACTTGAAAATCTTCATAGATTTATAAAATACTGTAAATCATGCTCACTTTCCTGGCTTAGCCCCAATTCCAAGCTACAGAGGGAAGAATCTCTTACTGATTCATCAAATACGATGTGGAAAGGAAAAGCATTGCAGAATGTCTTCTGTTCAATCCAGAGTTTCTCAGGATAAACTGGCTCAAAGGCATTTGCGACATGCCCTGGACAGAGAAAAAGAAAGTCCCGATGAGAAGCAGCTTCCTCCCCGACCCTTGCAGAGAGCAGAGCTTGGGATAGGGATAGTATCTTAAGTGTTTCACAGGCGAAGTACAATCCCCCTTCCTTTGCACAGGCTCCCTCAGCATCTCCAGATGGCCATGGCAATTCTTCTTCCAAATTAAAACAAACAGAAAACTTGCTACCAGGTTGAGAAGCCCTCCTGCCCCCTGCCAAGTTTCTGCCCGCTGCTGAAGAGTTTCTGGGCCAATTGAGTACGTCTCACCATGAACACAGAGTCGGCTTTGAAATGGTGACAGCCAGACAATGAGCTAGCAGAGCAGAGCGTGTGCTCCAGGCCCAGCATCAGGGACATTTGCCATGGAGCTTTTTAGACTGACAGTTTTGGGTGGCACGTGAAAATTTAACCAACAGTCCTATTTGGCAGGGGTTAGAGATTCGAAATGGAGCCTTTTTGATATGAAAATCTCCTCGACAAAGGATGTCAATTGCTTGTTTGACTCACTTGCCATGGCTTGAAGGTTGCAAAATGCAACGCTTTGAGCCCTGCAGACCTTCTCCCAGATGCGTGTCACCTGTCCCACTGAGCCGTGACGCAGGGCACCCTAACTCCCTTCTCCCAGACGCGTCACCTGCCCACTGAGCCATGACACAGGGCACCCTAACTCCCTTCTCCCAGCTGATCAGAGTCCTTATTCAGACTCAGGCATCAGGTGCTAATCGTTAGACCAGCTCAGTGCCCACAGGGGTACTTTAGCAAGACTAATGCTAATACTCATTTTGCAAGTGAGAAGATGGAGACTCTGTCCAGGGTCACATACTTCCTTAGGCACAGAGCCAGAAACTTGCTTTCTTGGCTCTTGATCTAGTGTCCTTTGCTGGGCAACTAGGGCTATTAGCCACAGATCTTCAGTCCAGAAATGTCCCCCAATGGAGAAGGCCTGACTGCTGAACAGGAGCTGTGGAAAATTCATTGTTCCTGATGGTACATCAGTGCTCAGCTTCCTTCTCTCCATCTGTCTCTAGTTGGGACCGATTCCAATTGTGTCTCCAAAAACTTTTTCCTAGGACAGGGGAGACGGTGTCTCCATGTCACCCAGCACAAATAATGAGGGGCGATGGAAGGACAATTAGAGCCTGACATTTTAAAGTTAAAAACCATGGCTGACAAATCCTAGCTTTGCCAAAACTAGTGCCATCATAATCGCAGAGGGTTTGGCCCCATCAGTGTACACTGGCCTGTACTCCTGAGAATCAAGCAATCATTCTGAGATCAGAGCTGAGCGTGGGAGAACCACTCACTTACCTTTTCCAAACATGACTATGCTTCTCACAACATCCCAGTGGGATTTTTTCACAGGACAAGCAGAAATATTCAAATATTTCTTCTTCATTCTGAGAAGAGCTGCCTGGAAGGCCTGCAGATGGCAGGCAGACAAGCACCTGGTCACATGACTAGAGAAGCACAAACCCCATTTGCTGTGATGGGGTCCACCTTCAGATAAGGAAATGTATCCATGGCCAGAGGAACAGCATGAGGGCTTACAAGATCAATTCTACCAAGACTTTAGAGTTCCTGATATTTTCTAATCAAATTAGTCTTCCTGCTATTTCTCTATCAAAGAAAGCAATAACTTTTTAGAAAATCTCAAGAGGGAACTAGGATGGTATCTGGCAAGAAATCACACTTGAACATTTCTTCCTGTGGTGGAAGATTCTGCAGTGAAAAGACTCTGAGATGGGCTTTGAAAATACTCTAAGGAATCTCAGACTAATCCTAATCTGGATATTTCCACAAGCTGTGTGCATGGAGAGCTGTTCACTTAACATACGTGGTACCTAAGCAGGTAATGGTCACCCAACCAGGTGCAACTGAGGTGGCCAACTACAAGGTCTTGAGTTGACTCTGGACCTATGACGGGTTTCAGCTGCAGGCACTGGAGGCGGGAAAGATCAATTTATTTGAGGAGGATTGAAAAAACAAAGCCATCAAGTTTACATTTCAAATCCCCTCCCTTTTTTTTGAGATGGAGTTTAGCTCTGTTGCCCAGGCTGGAGTGCAGTGGTGTGATCTCCACTCACCACAACCTCTGCCCCCTAGGTTCAAGTGATTCTCCTGCCTCAGCCTCCAGAGTAGCTGGGACTATAGGCACATGCTACAATGCCAAGCTAATTTTTGTATTTTTAGTAGCGATGGGGTTTCACCATGTTGGCCAGGCTGGTCTCGAACTCCTGACCTTATGATACATCTGCCTCGGCCTCCCAAAGTGCTGGGATTATAGGCATGAGCCACTGTGACCAGCCGGTTATTCTTATAGGTGAAAATTTTCCAGGCTCATGTACATCCCAGAAAGCTTCCCAGTATATATCCAGCTAAGCTTAACCCAGCAATTCTCAACTGGGAATGATTTTACCCATTACCCCGACTATGCAGACACTTGGCAATGCCAGGAGACATATATGTCTGTATGTATGTGTGTGTGTGTGTGTGTGTATATATACATATATGTATTTTTTTTGCCACAAATGAGGGGATGAGGTTCTACTAGCATCTAGTAGGAAAAGACCAGGAATGCTGCTAAACATACTATAATGTAAAAGACAGCCCATCAACAACAAAGAATTATCTGGTTCAAAATGTCCATAGTGCCAAAATTGAAAAACTCTGCCTTGATTGCATTATTAGAAAGTCCAGTTGGTCTCCCATCCAGGTACTAACCAGGATCAACCCTGCTTAACTTCCAAAATCAGGCACATTCAGAGTGGTATGGCCATAGACACTCATAGTGGGAGTTGAACAGTGAGAACACATGGACACAGGGAGGAGAGCATCACACACCATGGCCTGTCAGGGGGTGGCAGGGTAGGGGAGGGAGAGCATTAGGATAAATACCTAAAGCATGCAGGGCTTAAAACCTAGATGATGGGTTGATAGGTACAGCCAACCACATGGCACATATATATCTATGTAACAAAAACCTGCATGTTCAACACATGTATCCCAGAACTTAAAGTAAAATTTAAAAAACAAAAACAAGCCGGGCGCGGTGGCTCACGCCTGTAATCCCAGCACTTTGGGAGGCCGAGGCGGGTGGATCACGAGGTCAAGAGATCGAGACCATCCTGGTCAACATGGTGAAACCCTGTCTCTACTAAAAATACAAAACATTAGCTGGGCATGGCGCGTGCCTATAATCCCAGCTACTCAGGAGGCTGAGGCAGGAGAATTGCCTGAACCCAGGAGGTGGAGGTTGTGGTGAGCGGAGATTGCGCCATTGCACTCCAGCCTGGGCAACAAGAGCGAAACTCCGTCACAAAAAAAAAAAAAAAAAAAAAAAAAAAAACAGAAAGTCCAGTTGATTCTGTCATTTGCAAAGATTGTTCCAAGACTGGTCACTCAACTTAAGGGCAACTGTGCTTTCTAAAGGCATAGCAAACCCAGTACCTTTTGGTCTCTCTCGATGACCTGATTGTCCTGTAACCTGTCTGTCTTTGTCTTTCTCATTTTTCCACGAGCCCTTTGTACAATCAGAAACACAACATGCTCCTTCTTCCCTGTCCTCTCCACTTCTTCATTCATGTCAAGAATGTCCATGGTTACATCAATGTCAAAGAAGTCTTTGGCCACAGCCTCAATGATACCTGCAGCAGAAGGACACCTATTGTCGAGGGATGGTCAAAGGCAATTGTATCAGCAAAAATCATAAAATAATCAAGTTGTAAAACCTCTGATGAATATTCTGATGTTTGCCAAGCCCAGGCCCTGCTTTAAGTCAGGCATCAGTGACAGCCAACTAAATAAATATAGGCAGAGACTGAAGTTGTACATGTTTGGATACCAAATGTATCCATGCCACTTTAGTTTCTAGTTTGCGTCTACTCATTTGTTTGTTATTTCAGGTAGGCATTTAACTGATTAAACAAACAAACTCTAGAGGTAATGTAAGCAAAATTCAGTTGTAAAAGCATTAAGGATCAAGTTTTAAAAAGTGTTCCTCTGGGAATCTATCCCAGGGTTATATACAAAATATAGGAAAAGTGTGGATGAAGATGTTCATGATAGCATTGTTTACAATAGCAAAAGATTAGTATCAATGGAAAGTTTAATAATAGGAGATTAGTTAAGATAATGACAATATGGAATATCATTCGGCCAGTTAATACGTGGTTTTAAAGACTATGTGAAAATGTGGAAACGTGCTTTTTCTACAATGCTAAATGCAAATAAAGAGCTGACACAATATATGCAGAATTATCACAACTATCTAAAAACTGTATAGTTTAAAATGCTGAAAGAAAAATACAAATTATCCCTTTTTGTGGAATTTTGGAAACTTACTTTAAAAGCTCAAGGACTTTGGGAGCAGTGGTCAAGATGATATAAAGTCACACATTCTAAGAGAGTTTTAACTTCTTACCCATAGCCAGCTATTAGCTATCCTGGAAAATCTGTGGGGATATTTTCCTCATTTCAGAGGCCCCATAGCTCTGGGGCCAGCTAAGCCATTTCCATACCTGGGACAATGTGGCACAGACCGCTTCTATCCAAGTAGTAATGGAGAAACGTTTTCCCGTCTGTTCCTCTCTCCACACGAAACGATGGTGCATTCATCTCCTAATTAAAAGACACACATTTTTCCCAGTGGACACAAATTGTATAAACTACCCTTTTGAGGCTTTGTGAAACAATAGTATTTATTCATTCCATCATACAGAACTATATCCCAAACCTCTCTCCAATCACATAAAAACTCCCATGGTTCCTGCTCCTGTATGTCAGGAATTTTACACTATACCTCCTGCACTTAAAACGGCAAGTACTAGTTCCATTTTAAGAGAAAGAAACTGGCCGGGTACGATGGCTCATGCCTGTAGTCCCAGCACTTTGGGAGGCCGAGGCGGGCAGATCACAAGGTCAAGAGATCGAGACCACCCTGGCCAACATGGTGAAACCCGTCTCTACTTAAAAAAAAAAATACAAAATACAAAAATTAGCTGGGCATGGTGGTGCGTGCCTGTAGTTCCAGGTACTCGGGAGGCTGAGGCAGAATACTTGCTTGAACCTGGGAAGCGGAGGATGCAGTGAGCCGAGATTGCACCACTGTACTCCAGCCTGGCGCCTGGCTACAGAGTGAGACTCTGTCTCAAAAA